TAAAGCTAAATAGTAACAAAAATACACTAAAGAGCAGATGATCCCAAGCAAAGCCAAGATGAGTGCTCTGCATGAGGATTAGGAAGTGCTAAGACCTTGTTTAGTTTTCCCTGGGGAATCACAGACAACTTCTGAAGTTAATTTTGATTACAGATGAGCTGAGCTGAAGCATAAAGTCCTACATTTGCCCTTTTCCTACTGGCTCTTAATTGTTCCTCTGGAACTAGAGCTATGTTACGTTGGACACTTGGCCTTTACTTAAATATCCACATAATATTTTTTGCTTTCTAAAAAAGAACTGCTATTTCTGTTATTACACTATCAAAGGAAGACAAAATTTTAAGTTCCATAGATTTTTGTCCTGGGTGAATCATCATATTTGGTTTCTATTACATGAAGAGAAAGGCTGACTACTTAATAATAAAGTTACATGAGGTACAGCATCCATGATTTTTAATTTGAAATGATGAATTAATTGATTTATGAAGACTGTCAACGACAGCAAAACTTTTGTCCTTTTTGTAAAGGACACCTGACTCTCATTCCTTGGTTTTTCTGGAGGCTAGTAGTAATGGAAGAGATGGAAATATAATAATGATCCTTATTTATTTTCTAAACAAATGACCTATTGAAAGACTTTAGATTCATTAATTTACTTTCAAACATTTTATATGTTCAAGTTATTTCATATCCTATATAAAATAGTGACTATACCAATATGCTTTATGACAAAACATATTAGAAATTATAATACTGGGTGGTGGATAGAGAGAGAGAGTAATGGAAGGGGGAAGGAAGAGACCGAGATTATTTTGGTATTCTTTTTCTGTTTCTAGATTATATATGTGTGTCTTAGTCTCATCTTTATACCCGAAGATTTGCAATTTCATTGTTTTTGGAACTTCCTTTGGCATGTCAGCAGAATTTTAAAAAGATGTGAAACTCAAGGCAATTTTGTTACTTTTTAGCAGCTTTTAAAAGACCAGTATTTCACAATTTAAAGAATATCTTGTCAGGATGAGTTATTGTCTACTTTCTAGTCACCATAGCCCCCACACGAATCTTATCAGGGATATTTGAGAATGACATATTATCTCTGCCTTCTTCATCCAACATATTTCATCTCTTGTTGTATAGTTATTTGTGGCTTGTTAATCTACTTTAGGGTTTTGAAAGCTTCCTGTAGTTATAAGCATAGTACATATGTCAGTATTTGCACTCTTTGGGAAGAGGATCCATAGCTTTTAACCCATTCTAAAAATAATAATGACAATAATAATAACAACAATTATATATATGTATATATGGGTACATCAGTGTCTCAAATTAAATTAAGGACTACTACTAGAGAATGTACTTTATATTCCTAGATATATTTTAAGCAACCAGACATCAGGAACTATATTTCCTACTGAAATATATTTCTAATAACACTTGTCAATGTCCTCCCATAAACACTGTTGAACAGATGGATTTTAGAATGTCATGAAACAGGGCCTAATTACTTGGGCTCAGATCCCCCCCAGTAGTAGGTTAATTATGAACTCAGGTTGCACACTTACCTCCTTTAGACATTGACAGCCATTTACTTAAGCATTTAGTTAGTTCTCTTCCTCAAACTTTCTTCTTCTCTAAAGAAAATTGAACATTGTTGGTGGAATCAAATTCTCTTCAGGTAACTATATAAGGAAAGGGAAAAATTAAAATGTCCTTCCCAATTATGAGCAAGAAAAAATAAGTTTAAATACCTGTTGGATCTAAATAATTCACAGGTTGGCCTCTTTATGAAGTCATATCATATAGTCATCTTCATGTTAAAAGAGTTATTAATTCAAAAAATCAAAGTGTACAAAGTCTCTGTGATGAAGATGTGACTCTTAGCCTTAAAATGTAATCTAAATGAGAAGGAAAAATAAGAGAATATAAAACATTAAGCTATTAATATTTCCTTGGTTGGATTAGAAAGCTGTCATGGTCACATCCCTTTGTCATTTGATTTCCCCAAGAAATGAACAGCAACAGAATGGAGGGCCACAGTTATCTTAAGGTCCCTTTAAAATGAGCCTTGGCAATAACAAGATAATATCACTCCACCAAGTGGTATTTTAAAAATTCACCTAAATAATACTAACAAAGTCATTAACAAATTATAATTTTGTCAGTCTCTTAAGACATATAAAATATTTAACCACAATCATTAACTTCTAGTGTGTAGGGAAGTACATAGCTAAGTTATTTTTTTATGGCTAAAGAGAAAGTATTTACTCTTTAGGATGAAACTTTATTATGTCCATTCCATCAGTTAAAATACCATTAATAATTAACCAGATACTAAGTATAAAGTTAAGAGAACTTGGCATAGAAATGCAAAAATAAAATAACTACCTTATAGTTTTTGTACCTTGTATCTGCTTTTTTTAAAGCAATGTTTTATTTTATTTTTAGCTATTAGCCATTATAGAGCTATTAATTCCTTTGGTTCTAGGAGCAGAAACCTAGGGGTCAAGACCAGTTGAATGAGAGATTCAAACTCTCCTGCCAGAATCTATCACCCACAAACACATTGGCATCTCCTTATCTCCCAGGCCCACTTTATTCCACCACAAAATTCTTGGATGTTGTTTGGAACTTGCTTTCGGAAGATTTGGAATAATGGTTCTCAATCCTTTCTGCACAGCAGAATCACCCAGGAGTTCTTTGAAAATACAGATGTTTGGGTACCATTTCCAGGAATTGCTGATTCACTTGAACTGTGATCAGGCTCAAATTAAGTGTTTTTAAAGAACTGGGGTATCTCTGATGCAAGAGAAAGGCTGGGAATCACTCCACTCATGTAGCTGCCCTTCCGGCCTATTTTCACAAGCCCAAGTACAAGAACTTCGGCAGTATACTCAAGGGCTATAAGTAATAACATCATACTTTAAATATATAAAATGATAATCAACATAGTCTGAAAGGGTTTGACCTCTGTGCACCTGAGATTTCTAATTTCTGCAAGCACATAATTATTCAAGAACAACCTCATTGTGAATGCATACAGTTGTTGCATAAATAAAGACAAAACATTTTTAGTAAAGTCTTAAATGAAGACTTTGTGCTTTTTTAAAGTAAACTCCTAAATCATATTTTAATGAATACAGTTATTTGTGAACCAGCAATTGATGTCTTAATTTCAACAACTAGATGCATAGATAGAATCCAGCTGTTGTGTACCTAATTCATTTTGTTAAGGACTTCCCTTCAGGCCTGCTTTTTGTTTGTTTTGTGATACTGATATTATTAAAAAATAGCTCGAACATGAAAGTTTTAAAATATTCTAGAAGCTCAATATTTAAAAAAAATATTAATCAAGTAAAACAATGATGTCACTCAGGATCTTCTTCTCTAAAGCACCAGGAAATACTTGACCACATATAAACTGTCATGGGGTCTGATCCCAACAGATGTCCTTTTCAAGCACCTGTTGGAGTCAACTCTGCCACTGGACTTTTAGAGGGGATGGAGTTTTAATTTTCCAAAAGCCATGAGCCAGCCAATTGGAATGTCAGACATGCACATTTGCTGTTTATGTTCCATTCTATAAACCAGCTCCTGAATTGCTGTGTTGATCTCTTGATTGTGTAGTTAGTGAGAGAAGTCTACAGATAACTTTAGGATTGACTCCCTTTGTTAATAGAGGTTTATTAAAGGGTATTGTTTTCACATAAACCAATAATGAAACACATTATGTTTTTCTTACCCTCTGAGAAGTCTGTCAACAGTTGACTTGTTAAAAATCTACAACTGTGGTTATAAATTGAAGAAAGCAGAAAGCTCTCTCAGAAAGCTCACTTACAAAACTGTTTCACATGTCTCCTTAGCAGAGAGTCAAAGTTTGAGATTGATTGTAATGGAATAGCTAAAATGTCACATAACTTAACACCAAATGTGCTTGCGGCTGATTCCATTCAAAAATTGACACGCACAAGCTGTGTTAGTAGTGTGACCTCAAGTAAATTCATCATGTCTATGTATAGTAAAGTACTGAGCACATATTCTTGGGCTGGAGGTCATGGGTTATGCATAGCTCTTCAAACACTTATATTTTGAGACAGCTGAATTACTCCCTGACCTGACTTCAGTGAGTGGGCAGATCATCTTCATCTTTATGCCTTCCTGCCCTTTCTAAATATAGTAGGGCCTTTAACAAGAGGATATTTTAAGCAGCTCATATTCACCCGTCTCATCAGGAGAAGCCTATTTTGGCCACTTGCATGTGTAAGATCTGCATGTGTGCATAGTCAGTCTGTTGGACTCCTAGTCCATGCTTCTCACCACTCATATAAGAAACTTGCAAACATAGACACTGGGATTGCAGGCTGAGAGTGCTGGCTTTGAGTCAGTGGGTAAACATAAGAGAAGGCAAGACACTTTAGGGATGTGAATATGCTCCTGAAATCATCCATTTCAGACATTTGCACATCAGTCCTCAGCTTTTTGGATCTGTTTTCATAAAACCTGGCTGTGATTTTGCTCCAGAGACCTCCACGATCTTGCCGCTTTTAATAAATATTTATAGAAGGCACTGCCAGCCTTTGGATAAGGGAAACTAATGAGAAACTGCCATCCAAACTCTGAACGGCAAAAACAAAAGGAAGCAAAACCAAAACATCCAAAACAAAGCCAAAAAAGAGCAACTCAGACAATCCGTGCTCACAAGAAGACACGGAGAAAAATACCAAGATGTAACTTTGATTTGATAACTGGATTTATCAGTCACGTGACTCTCATACAGTGGGTACTTTGTATTTTTCTACTTTGAAAAACAAGTGCAAATCTATGTTATTCTGCATAATGGGGACCAAAAATTTATGAGTGTGAGAAAACACAGACTCTAAAAGCAAGATGGAATTCAAGCAGGTAAACCCTGTTCCGCAGTCATATCATTCCAGTACAGTTGTACGTGGCACCCGTGTTTGCACCTCTAAGAAATTTCCATTTTTTCGCATCAAAAAATCCAGATACGAAGCCGAAGCTGCTTTCTTCGCCAACCTGAAGCTGTCTGATTTCAACATTATTGATACCCTTGGAGTTGGAGGTTTCGGACGAGTAGAACTGGTAGGTGATTGTTCTTTAAGTGTTTATGAAAGCCTCTGTCTTCCTTTTCATGTTTTCTCCTAACTAAAATTTCTTTCTCTCCTCTCTTATCATTAATCACTGTTGCTTATAAATCAGTACCAAATACTTTCATCCATGCATGTGAGAGTTTGTAGCACAGTGGGCTATAGTCAACAGATGAAAAATAAAATAAAAACTCAATTTCCATAAAGCCTCTTCATATTAAATGAAAGGTAAACACATTTACTTAATGAGGAGCCATAAAATATTTTTTTACCCAGCTGATTTTCTATAACCTTTATTTATTTCCTTAGTTCTGACCAGTGACCCACTAACTTAATTGTGCACCCTAACTATAATTATGATCATTTAAATGTGAACTCAAACTGGGAAAAGAGATGTAAATATATGAGATAAATGGTGTAGCAGAAATTCTATGATCTGTAGTTGCTAGATTAGAGATAATGGATTGAATATTTTGTATAGCTTATTTCACACATACTTCATTTATACACAGGTAAGTGTTGATGATGAGGACAGTTTGTACAAGTTCACACATAAAACACATTGCACAAATGTGATAAAGCAGCATGAAACTATATTCTATTTTGCATTTGTATGAAATAGAAATTTTAAAACTAACATTTGCAAGAAAAATTAGAAAAAGAAAAATATGCTGCTGACTGAGTTAGCTGAATTCCAAGACTGTGTAGATAAAAACCGTATTTGAGAATGCAGATTCATGTCCACCTTTCTGCTGAACACTGAGGACTCCCTGATATCAGACACCAGTACAGTATGTTAGGAACTCCCTGAGACTGTGTACAGTGTAGTAAACAGTTACTGTTGCCATCAAGAGTCAGAAGAAATCCCCTTCCATAAAAGTAGAGTGACCCAGAGTTATCTTTGATATTTTTCCATTTGTGCTGCAGTTGGAATTTCTGACCTTGACAAAAAGCAGAGAAATGTTATTTATTTAAATATTAGAAAAGAAGGTTTTTGAGCCATAAGTTCCTTCGGATTTGTATGATATTTGCCTTAACTCTGGTTAGAAATATTGTACTACTACTAATACTACTTCTGACTTGAAATTCTACCATGTGTTTCTGAGGAACTAAGTATTTTCAGTTATGTGAGTAAAAATTAACAGAATGTAGAAAAATCTCTTGCTTTTATGAATCCTGCCAATTAATGTAGCCTTAGATTTATTTTTCAAGAACTTTGGTTTTATGGTGAGTTTTAACTGTTCATACAGCTAATAAAGACTTATTTTTATTTTTTCTTCATTTTTTAAATTAATTGATTTTTTTAAATACACAACAGCAGAATGCATTGAAAAATTCTTATTATACATCTAGAGCACAATTTTTCATATCTTTGTATATAAAGTATGTTCATGCCAATTCATGTCTTTATACATGTACTTTGTTTTTTGTTCTTTTGCATTACAGTTCTTATTACACATATATACCACAATTTTTAATATCTCTGTATATAAAGTATGTTGACACCCAATTCGTGTCTTCATACATGTACTTTGGATAATGATGTCCACCACATTTCGCTAATAAAGATTTATTAACAGCATACATGAACAGCTTTGCTTTGGAGTATTGGGACATACAAGTGGAACAGAGGATAAAGGTCTTTACCATGAAGGTTTTTCTGCCTAGTGTATTTATTTACATAATGTATTTGTCTAAACCCCTTTCTGAATGAAGCTGTATAAAGAACAGAATTTCCCAGAGATTGATTTGTGGACTGTTTGTTAAAGTTCCTTAAATATTATTTTTATAGAACATGGGCAATAAATTGTGGCTGTTTTAGTTAACAAAAATAAAATATTACAACTTTATGGATGTCTGGAGGTCTGATAATTCTGAGTTACCAGTGAGATATTATTAAATGTAGGAATTTAGTAATTATTTTTGGAATATTGATAATATTGGTAATAGCTTATCATAGCTTTGAGACCACTTTAAGATGAACAATCACATACTAAGTTAATAGTGGGAGTCTTTTAGAAAATTCTATGAAAAATGTGTGAGACACAACTAACTGAAAAATTAAGGAAAGTTTATGTAAAAGGTAGTATAGCTTAAAAAGATAAATATATCTATATGATTGTGTATGCATGTGCATGTTTGTATATATACATATTTATTTATTCATACACATACACATATTTATATAAACTCTCCCCATTCTTTACCAGGAAAGAATTCAGTCTAGTTTTCTTCTCATGCATATTGCATATTTTGCACAGATGTTTATAAACAAATGAAAACTCTAATCCAAAGAATTAGTTTAGGTTGGAAATATTTCCCAGTTTTCCAAGACTAAATATTGATGAATGATAAATCTTTAATGGATCATCAAGTATGATAATTCTACGGGGGCGGGGGGTGGGATGGGGGGGGGGAGGCACGTGTCCTTAAACTATGAAGTCACATCTTGTGTTGTCGGAAAAACCCCAAACCCTGGGGTACAAGCATAACATCTAGATCATCTCCACTATTCACTGTGGGTCAGCCATTTACATGATGACTAATACTGTAATAATCACTGCCCCGAGTTTAGCCACTTAGTATCTGCTGGGTCATATTAATTACTGGGTGTGAAGAATATTCTCTATGATTGTAATATATATATATATATATATATATATATATATATATATATATATATACCTTTTACATATATATATATATATAAATACCTTTTATATATATATATATATATATATATATATATATATATATATATATATAAATACCTTTTACATATATTCATTGATGCCAGAATTGGGAGCTTGACCTGAGTACTTCATAATTACCCATATTGTTGTTATCACACTAAGGTAATAGTTTATCTTTAGAGGGGTGTACACATCATTCAAAGTTAAGAGAGAATATAGGCATAGCCCAAGTTCTGTTGTAATTTAGAGTTTTCTCTTTACACTCCTCTGAGGTGACACGTGCAAAATAATTTTATCAGTATTGTGAAATGCTATGTTTAAGCAATATAACTGTCATACTGACTCATTTTACCTCTCTGTAACACAGGATGAATACATTGATATAAAGTATATAATAAATTTTGAACCTACTAGTCATTAGCTTGGTAATGACATTGATCAAGGAAATTACATTACAAAATAAGATGAAAAGTTAAAAGAATTAAATTTTTTCCAGGCATAAAGATTATAAACTGTCCAATGAGATATGAAGAGCTTAGAAATTGGGATTTCTGAACTCCATTTCCTAATGAAGAATTTTAATACTTTTTATTAATGTTTCACATACAGATTATGTTTGTGTGATTCTATATAATTATATACCTTTGCAGACTTCTTAGCATTTCTTAATTTTTATCATTTGTCAGTTTAGATAAGTTTAGATGCAGTAGTACTTTCAGGCAGGAGAATTTTTAAATAATTTATTTTCAATTTTTGAAGATAAGAACATAATAAGAAATGTAAATATTTGTTTGATGATAAACCCACAAGCTTGTAGAAAGGTCTTATATGCATAAGAATTCTGCTCTTAAGCTATCTCATCTATTTCATAAATACTACTTTAATATTAGACATTCCCTGTTCAAATTCATTGCCTTTGGAAAGCCATTTGTACTGCCTTCTTTCTGTTATTAGGCATAGATCATATTTCTGTTCATGTTCTTTAAGAGTGGACCTTCAATGTGTTCACTGTGACCTGTTTATAGTACATCCTCCAGAAAACCAATTCTGTTTACAAAACCACTTTAAATTAAAAAAATAGCTATTTTTATCTATCATTTATCACTAAAGCTGTAAGCACAACTATAAAGGAATTTTTCTTAATTTACAAGGTAAAATTTTAAAATAAGAAGATTGGTTTTACAAATCATAAATGAAAATTATTCCCATTGCTTTCCTTATGTTCTTATTAGAGAGGTACCTGTTTCACTACAGATTTGCACATGTAAACACATAATTTATTTTAATCTGGCAATACTATGTAGTGGTTGTTCTAAATATTAGATTATTAATATGTTTATTCAGCAGTCCAAATGGCTCCTATACCAGCAAACCATACTTGGATAAAATATGAGAACAAAAATATGGGAGACATTGTTTATATCTTCTTGCCTTATATTCTTTCAGTGTTGGTTATTATGTATCAATGTAGTGAACTCTCTAGGGAGATATAAAGTTTAATAGAAAGTAACTCTAAGAACACACAATCTACTGGGAGGAGCAATCATACACTGAAAAGTAAACCTGTAAGCAAAGTAGGAACAACACAGGCTCAGTGCATGGAGGAGCAAGACTTTGGAGGAGGTGACTTTTCCAAGGCAAAAAGAGAGTTTAGGTGTCAATATAGATAACTGAAATCACTTGGTAAAATGAAATTACTGCAAGAACAAATATTTATTAATTAATACTACTTTATTGCTGAAACAGTCGACTTTTCATTTGAAGCCTGCTTTGCAGTTTTCAGATTGCTCTCACACCCAATATGTAACTCTGCTCTCCTAGCTACCCAGGGAGAACTTGAGTCATGATCCACATTTCATAGAAAAAGTGTCAAGAATAATGCTTATAAGCATTTCTAAGTTCATGCATTCATTGAAAGAACTATTGTTATTGCCCAAAACTACTTTTTTTCTTAAACTGGAAAACCCATTTTTGTTGTTCTAGCTTCTAAAAATATTTAGATTCTTACCACACAAAATCAAATGTGTTGAATCCATTGTCACAGGTACACCTTAACTTTAAAAAAAAAATTCTTCTAGGATCTAAGAACCTAAAGTAAACATAAAGCTAGAATAGATGCAATGCTGATCTGCTATGCATATCTGTGTTAAAACTTTAGAGACCACCCACCTTCTGTAAATCTTTTGCTATTCTATTGGTAAAATGTCTGTGGAGAAAAACTAATAAGACACTGTGTGTAACATGGTAGCAACAAACTCAGTCTCTGGAATTAGACATTCTGATTCAGATCTTGCCAATTGTG